CTAGAGGAAGTTATCTTCTGAGAGTATAGAAACTCTCAGTGAACGGCAGTCCACAGGTCCCTTCTTTAGTTAAAGAGAGCGAAGTGACCTAAATAAGGTAGATTGTAAACTGAGTATATTTATAGGTAGGTTAAGTTTGGGTTTATTACAAACTATTAGTTACCTATAGAAATGCAATGTCATTTAACCAATGGTTGGCTTTGAACGACCTTGGTACCTTGTACCAAATATCCCGGAGTATGACGTGTCATAATGAATGCCACGCAGGTTCTACTTGTAGGAAGAAAGGCAACGAATGTCGTTTTGGATTCCCCAAGAGTTTACAACCTAGAACTGTAATTGAGTCGAAAACGAGTTCAGATGGCACACCTTCCTTGAAAATCCACTTACAACGTGAGGTGTCCACTATTAACAATTATTCACCGCATCTCCTTTCGTGTTGGCGTGCTAATATGGACCTGCAACTAATTGGAAACTCCTACGGAGCTGCTGAATACGCAGGAGCGTATGTAAGCAAAGCAGAGCCAGATACACTTCGATTCAGGCGAGTGATTGCAAAAGCTATACAACGGAGTGACTCAAATCTTCCCTATCATTCGATTCTGAAGCGAGTAGCAAATGCGACTCTCGCGGTTCGCGAGGTTGGTGCACCGGAAGCTATATACATTCTCCTTCGCAATCTATCAATGCATAGTAAATCCCGCTCAATCACCAAAGTCAAGGCGATGCGTCACAGTACCCGTTACTATCGCGTTGAGCCGCAAAACCTAGACGACCTTGTTGCCTTAGCAAGTACACCAGAGATCGAGACTATTCGAATTGAGCCTATCGAGAAAGCGTACATGAATCGCCCGGACAATGATCATTTTAACGCTATGACTTTAGCAACATTTGTAGAGACTTTCGAAACGATTGAGTCGATACGTAAAGTAGCATCCTCCGATGATCTGTACGAGTGTATGAACGGTGAAGGGTGGATAAAGAAACGCAAGAAAGCCACGGTTGTGCAAAAGACACCCTGGATACGACCCGATTCGTCGAACCCCACTTTCTGTTTCTCCGAAGTATTTTTGTATGTTCCATGAAGGCAAATTAGTTTGTAAATGCTAACCGCAGCTCTCAATACAGCAACTTTGCTAATTTTCACGAAATATAAAATTGGGCAGTTGCTACTGCACGTTTCGCACCTGGCTGTTGTTCAGGTGTGGCGCTTGCTGCGCTTCGCCACTGTTGGATGATTTTCCTCGCTCTTGCTCTCCGATGCCATCACCACATCATTGTCAGTCGGGATGGCACTCATCGCACTCGTGTTGTCTTCCGCTTCGTTAGCCTTGGTTTTTAAGTGTTGTGGTGAGATCTCACAGGCCACCTTGCGTTTTTTCAGTGGTGGTTCGACCTCGAAAATCTTGTACTTGTTACCGAGCTCGTACTGAACGCTCCTCTTTGCAATATCAGCATAGAAACCAACGCCATCGGCATGGGAAAATTTGTACACGGCACCAGGTTCAAACTTAATATTGCGCTTGCCATTGACACACTTCGTCGGTTTGGCATCCCACACCGTCACTTGAACCAGATACGGTTTGCGCTTCAGAGGTGTCAAGTCGGCTAGGGCATTTGCTGTCGGCTCGAACACTTCCCGTTGCGCGGCGTCGACCAGCGTAACACGAGTTCCATGGTCACCGCGAAGTCGTTCCGATTGAAGGCAGCACATGCTGAGCGTAACGCTTACATCAGCAGTTGGGTGCGACGCCAAAATGAATTCTCTAAACTCCGCCACAGTTGAGAATTGGTTCAACGTTTCTTCTTCCTTCTGCTTTAGGACGTCGTTCTTGATAGCTTCTAGCAGATTCATAGTTGTATGTGGTGAAATTGTGCGATGGCGTTGCTTCGTCTTGCAAAATTAAAGTGAGCCTGCCCGCCGAAATCCTTCTTTCCCCTTACAATTAACCAGTTTCTACTTAACCTTAGGGGCGGGCATAAGGAAAAAAATAAAATTCATTGGCACCCAAACGAAAAGGCGTAACCTTTGTTTAATTTGCAACCACACCTTTTTCTTGGGTGAAGATATTCAACACATTTCCTCCTCGCCAATTCCTTTAGTTCTGTAAACCACTCTGGCTTGAAGTCTACGAGCAACTTCACAAATTCTGACAAATTCTCGTAATTTTTAAAGCATTCCCGCACCAAATATTACTGGAATTTTGGCTCGATCGTTCGAAGCGAAACGTCAACGTATCCAAGAGATGTGATACAACTTCGTTTAGCCATTGCATCTTCAACAAATCTATTAGCTGATTCATTAGCGAACGTATCCGAATAAATGCTATTCAAAACGCCATCACTATCACAACCGCTTCTTCCATTATCTTAGACTTTATTTGTGTAGCCCACTTGCATTACACTGCCCAGTACTTGATGTCCATCGTCATTGCCTAGCACAGATACCATACATACGAGATCACTGCATTATTAATGAATTTGAAGCTTGGGCATTAATTATGAGTCCATATTACATTTTGCGACTCCTTCTAGATCTACCAGCCAAACTTCAACCGACAGCACCGTCGTGCCACACCGCACGCATCCTCACCAACGTTTCTAGATATACAGTCACCTTCACTTGATCCACGTAATGGTTTCCAGCTCCAAACCTGGTACATTGTGTCTATTTGCCAATTTTACACCGTTTACATTTATTTTGACGCCCCTAATCTATCTAGTTTGTTAGTACGATGCCTTCCTACATTTTTATAGTAAAATTGAGTTTAATTCCTACTCCTTAGCCTTCAAACCCTGCGCGCATTCTAGTTATTGAACCATCAACGTATCCAAGAGATGCGATACGACTTCATTTAGCCATTGATTCCGCTACTGCAACTTCAACATATCCATTAGCTGATTTACCAACGAACGTATCCGAAGAAGTCATTAGCCTCCAAATCCTGCACGATTATATAGTTATATATTTTTTTAATTTTGATCTACTTCATAAATTCCATATCTACAATTTCATGCTACAACTGTGCTTACTTCCTCCCACACTCATGTCTACAGTAGCTCCAATAAGTATTAATTAAATTCATAGTATTTCGTTGCAGCAACTCTGTTATATTATCCTTTAACTGAAAAGAAGAATACCATATAGTAATTGCTGATGCACCAGCAACATGGTCTGATCGTTTCCCCCGAGTCTCCATCATTACCGCCATCACGCTGTTGCTGTCGGTCAAGTTGATTCTTGTAGCTGCTGTATGACCCTCACCAAGACGTGCGCTTTTTGAGGGGAGGCGCAATCTCTCTGATCTTATCCAAGTTGCCATACTCGTACTGGATACTGCCCTTCGCGATGCCATCGTACAATCCGACATACTCGACTTGATTAAGAACGTACATAGCTCCAACGTGAAACACAATGTTTGAATCGCCAGCGAAAGCGTTCGACATCTTTGAATCCCAAACAGTCACCTGCACCACATCGCGTTTGTCTTGATAGCCTATACAATCATCAACTGCCTTCAAGGCTGTGTTGACTTCCACACATCTCCTTTCGTCGACCAAGACTACACGAGTAGCGTTAGTACCTTCAAGACGCTCCACGTGAAGGCAACACATTCTCAGTGTCACGCAGATATCAACTGCAGGGTGTGTCATTGTGATGAATTCACGAAAGTCTCTTACGCTTGAAAACATGTTGACAGCTTCCTCTTCCATTTGTTTCAAAACGGCCCCGCGAATGGAATCCAAGAAATCCATTGTGACTTGATACAGCAAAATCAAAAGTGACAGACGCAAATCCGAAAGTTAAATAAGCCAACTTCAACCCCAGTAAGGAAACTGTTCACAGCAGTATTACTTTTGCATGTCATATTTTATTCATATCGACTAGAGAGCCCAGCAAACGGTGGGTAATTGAGGGAGTACTCTTAAATAGTTGGTAAGTTGTTCCAGGCTCTGCTCGAAGCACAGAGAGATATTAAAGTGGTGCACCATACTGCGTGAAAAGGCGTAGCGCTTGGCCAGATCCACTTTGTGTAGCGATAGGAGAATAGGCACCAGCAACTTCCCACGGTCCTCTGCGAAAGCCAATTGATCAGCAAGAAGGCCATCTGCAGCCGATTCTCGCTCTTCTTGGCTCGCAAATAGTCGTACAGCAGACCTCCACATGACAAGTTTGATGAAGGTTCCCAAGTTGTATCTTAATAGCTCACCCACTTGACTTTGAACTCGCGTACAGCACGCTCCGTGCTTGTCGACAGGGGTGTTCTGTCGTCGAGGATGGCCTCGACCTCATATTCACCGGCAACTTGATCTGGTTCCCAGCTGTCTTCAGGCAGTAGTTCCTCATCGAAGTCGAGTCTTGCTTCATTAGTCGTGTCAAGTACCAACCGAGTGTTCGGTCGACTGTTGAACTCGTTGACAGCCTTGAGTCTCGACACACGCACTACTGGGTAGAAGCGATACCCACTTCGGTCAGGCAGTTCCAGCTCGTACGCAAACGCTTCCACCTTGCGTTTGATCCGAAAAGGTCCATGCCATCGGTGAGCTAATTTCTTTGTCAAGCCCGGTTTGACGCGTTCCATGTACAACCACGCCCGGCTCCCAATCTCAAAAAGAGATATCGGTGGAGCGCTTGCAGGATCTTCCATCTCTCCTGAAGCTTCTAGGGGGTCCATAGTACTATCACTTTCAAAAATATCATATGATTGCTGGTTACCATTAGCCCCTGATCTACGGTGCTTATTAGTCAGCAGTGCATACTTATACATGTACATTGGAGGCCTTCAGAAAATATAGCAGATCCCAAATGTCGCTCGCACAAATTCTGTAGCAAACTATGGGGGTAGGTCGCACTAAATCGCATCGCGATTTTGAAGAGGCCGTTTTGGAGTCTCTGCAAATTGCGACATC